GCTGCTTCGGGCGGCAGCCGCAGGTGCCGAGCGGCCTTGCTCGGGAGCGCCGCTGGCAGCCTGGGTGGGTGCTGGGCGTTTCGCTGGGGGGGCGGCCTGGATGTGGGGGACGAGGTGGCGGCGGAGGGGGGTCGGCTACGCGTAGCGCAGGAGTGACCTCTCGCGGGAGTGACTTTTTGCGGGAGTGACCTCTGGTGCCAGCCCATGGGGTCGCTAGATCGCTGAATGCGATGCGACAGCAGCGGCTTGCGCGCTTGGGTTTGGCGCCCCCGCGCCATTCAGAAAGCAGAGCACCAAAGCTCACTCTTGCCTGGGGTCGCTCTTGCGTGTTAGTCAGGGGGGCAGCGAGCGTGGATGGAGGAGGCGGCGGGAGGGAGGGGGGATGGAGGGAGGGATCGGTATAATCGGAATGGGTCGGCCCAACGCCACCTCGGCTCAAGCCACCAGCTCAAGCTGTCACGCGCGAGCTGAGGGCTGAGAGCCACTTGTACTGCCCCGCCTCTCGCACATGAAGCCCTGCTGCTGCAGGCAGCTGGCCTGATCGCGGAATACAGCAAGCAATATTGCCAAGTGGGCCAGCGTAGAATTTAGGGGTGCAAGCAGATGCCCCGCTGGCTCCTCCCGGCGACCTTTGGTGTGAAGCTCGGTGGACCAGCCCCCGCGAAGGACCTGGAGCTAGAGAAGCAGGCAGAGAATGCACAGGAGACATTGGTAATTCTAGCTCCAGTCGGTGTTCCCCAGAAGTCGGAGACGACAGCACCGCTGAAAGTGCAAGAGGAGCAACCGCTGCACGCTGGACAAGAAGCATCCGGGGCAAAAGCAACCGCGGAGGAGGGGGAGATCAAGGGCCAGGACCGCCTGACACGGACCGCCTGGCTGACAGAGGGTTGGCAAGCCCTCGCGGGCATGCATGGGATTGACAATTTCATGCGGCATTTGCCACGGGATGATATCAAGATCATCAGGCGGGCTGCAGTGGAGCTAGCTCCGCGCTTGCATGCGGGACCTTGAAATGATTTCTCTGTGTTTAATTCGGACCTCGAAGAGTTGGGCCATGGGCCCGATTACGTTTCTTCGCAAGTATCCTCGAGTGAAGTGGGCGATGTCTGCTCGCGCCCAACACACTTTCCCGACGCAGCGCACACTTTGTCGACATTAGATGGCGGGAGTCTCGCCATGCCGTCGCAGGACTTGGCGTTGCAGGCTCATGGTGACTTGTGGGGGGAACTGGGCTTCCAGGAATGGCAGTCTGACGCAATGAATGCCACCAGCAGGAAGACACTACGTGATGGCCAAGTTGGGCAGGGCCCAAATGTATGCACAGCTCCTAAATCCAATTGGCGCGCTCGTACCCAGTAGCGCCATCGCCAGCAAGCCACTGAAGCCGTTGTCTCCATTGCTTCCGCTGCTTTTGCTACTACTTCACCATCTACTTCGACAGCGCGCGCGCTCGCATCGCATCTTCAGGCAGAGCAGCCTGGTGCGCCGTGGGTCCCACTTCGGGACGGTGATCTTCACTTGTACAGCCCAGAGGTCACTTGGCACTGGAACGGAAACTCGTTGTTGCACCCTTGAGTCTTGAACATACGAGCGTCTGGGGTTTCCTCGGCTGGCTGGCAGCTCACCGGCAATTTGAGCTACTTGCTCAGTGCATGCCAGGGCACCCGCATGTGACTGATGGCCGGAGCTTGCTTGAAGCCGTCGCTGGACTCCGGGGCCATGCTGCGCAGACCGGTGGGGCCGATCTTACAGGCCACCCCGCAGTCGTGGGCGCTCGGGTCGAATGTGACTGTTCTCGCTGTTCGGCATTGGTCTTGCCTCGGTGCGTGTAGGAGTTCGGTTGCCTTTTCTCCTGCAGCACAATCCGTTTTTCTGAGAGTATTTTTGCTCTGCTCGGGCTGGGTAGTGATCACTTCGGTCGAGCGCTTGACAGTGGTAGCTAGATTCAGTTTCCTCCATCTTCGACATCGGCACCGCCATCGCCCGGGATGACAATTTCATGTAAATGGCGGCTTGGTACGGTAAAGGGGTGGGGCCACTCATATCACTTCGCTAACCTCGGCTGCGACATGTCCGGGCATGGTTGTTGCGAGGTCATTCTTGTCGCGCCCAAGGCGTTACAATGGCTTCGCAATTGTTTCGCAAGGACTTCCAGGCATGCATGCATCCTCGAACGCACGCGTGTGTCGCCCACTTTTGGGGCAGCCCGGCGAGAATCGTTACGACGAACTTGTCGCTGTCTGGCGACCCGGCTCGGCGGCAGGTCGCGAGTGTCCAAAGAAACCAGACGTTGGTTTCCAGATTTCGAGGTTGAGTCTACCGAGAAAATATTCGAAATTGGTACGGGACGAATGGGGGCGAAGCCCGACAGCATCCCTTTTTCATTTTGAAAAGGGCTCGCTGTCGGTATCGCCGCGGGCGTTTTCCATTTGAGACAGGAGACCGCCTGCCGAACAGCTGCCGCTGTCGGTTTTGAACAGCATGTGAGTTTAGGCTTCCCACATCAACACATGGGTCAGAGTAGATGGGGTCGGACGGTCGCGCCGCATCGCCGACGCATCGGCGATGCGGCTCGATGTTCAGCCCGATTTTCACCACGCCGACGGCGCCGATGTGCTGTCGACGTCGCCGGTGCATCGCCGACGCATCGGCGATGCACTGGCGATGTGGCGCGAGCCTGCGACCCCGTGTGCCCAGACCCCATCTAAGAGGCCTCCAGGGAGTGAGGGAGAGAGTGAGGGAGGGAAACAGGAGGGAGGCGGGGGAGGCAGAGGGATGGAGGAGGAGAAGGAGGAGGAGGAGGAGGAGGAGGAGGAGGATACCGCACTGCATTGGCGAACGCCGCGCAGGTCTCCCGCGCCAGGCGGCCACAGCAAAGGAGGGGTCGGTGGGCCGACCCCCGCAGGCGCCAGCAAAGGTCGCCTGCCCCCTCCAAGAGGATCGCGGGACGGGCGCTGGCCCAGAAGTTATGTAGAAGGGCTCGACGCCCAGAAGTGACGTAGAAGGGCACAGGCAGTGGTGGCGGTGGCCGTTGCCTGCCTCCCACACCTCTCAGGTCAGGAGGAGAGGGAGCTGACAGCACGGGGAGAGCCGCACCAGCCGCCTGCCATGAGGCAGGAAAAATCAAGCCCGACGGCTCGCGAACGGCACACACCAGGGCCCGCCAACGGGAAGGCAACCTGGAGAGCCGACGGGCCCTGAAGCGGGCGCGAGTGGCGGGAAGAGTTCGCAACGCCGCCGCGCTGCTGCGACGGCACACAGGGGAGCCGCTAAACGCAAATAGTTGCCACGCACACAACTGCAAATAGCTCGCAAATGATACCACGCAAATGCAGGCAATACATGCCACGCAGATGATGCCACACACACATAATGCCACGGAGAAACAGGCAGGCCCGGGGCAACCCCGGCAACGCCGAAAGGGCTAGAGAATCAGAAAGACAACAGAGGCGCAGGAAGAACCACGACTGCCCTGGTCCACCAAAGTCTCTTTTAGGAAAAGGGGGCCGTGGGAAAGTGAAGCGCTGCGGGGAGTGCACCTGAGCGGGTGCTCCACCCTCGTGGCACTAGTCCCCGTCGCCATCCTGTTGAACACAGCTTTGATTCTGCAAGAGCCCGCCCCAGTGGGTTTCGGAGTCCCCGACATGGAGGGGACGAGGGGAGGATTCGCCTGGAATCCACTCTGCCCTCGTCCGCAGGATGAAAGCCCGCAAGAAGCTGGCGACGATGACGGCAGGCTCTCTCAGATCAGCGACAGGTAGCCACCAAGCATCAACGAGCAGGTGCCCTGCGGTGCCAGCGGTAAAGAAACCGCAAGAAACACAATCAAACGCGGCCTGAAGCAACCCAGAGCCTGTGAGCCCTGGCGGCTGCAGCAGGGACAGGGCCAGTCGGCGGGAGGGCACAGGCAGGGACGGCCGTGGCCGCCAGCGCAGGACGAGCCTTGTGTTGACCGCCAACTTTCCGTCTCTTGCTATCCTGAAGCGCGGGCCCAGACCTATCGGGGATATGGAGGTCAGCGATAGCTCGATCTGTATCCGTCGAGGCAACGTCTCTGATCGATAGGCTCTTGGACCTCCGAAGGCCAGGGGAAGAAGGCGCGACCAGTCCGTCGGGCTCGAGAAGCCCAAGGCGAGGTCTCACACCGATCGAACGAAATCGGAGGAGGAAGAGGGGTGGTCACCGCAGGCAGCAAGGCCAGGGCCAGTTCCGTCCACGCCGTTCCCTCCTCCACTCTCCTGGGCGCCAGCAGCGTCGCCAGATAACGGCACAGCGGAGGCTGGTTCAAGCGACAGTGGCTCAAGGGCCAAGTCGGCCCAGGGGCTCTGCTGATCCCCCCCCTCGTAGCCACGGCTGGAAGTGGCTCGGAAAACTAGACCCGTGTTTGCGATAGCGGGTAAGCCGAGGCATCTCCGGTTCCTGCTCCATGGCGTGCACTACCATGGCGTGCTCCCATGCGGCCTGCCCGCTCTCCGGCGCGCTCCCCGCAGCGGCCGACGAGCGGGGCAGATGCCAGCGCGGCGGCCAGGCGCTTCCCGGCGCCGCTGCTGCCGCGGCCGGGCTGCCGTTGGCGCCGGGGCTTCCCGCTCCAGGGGAGGGCTTTGCTGCGGCTGCCCAGCCGTCCGACCCGCGCCTGGGCCTCGGCGACGGCGGCACTGGCCTGACCCAGGGCACCGTGCACCTCAGCCTGAACAGTTCGGACATCGACATCGATGAGGATGCTGGTGCACCAGACGCGGCCGCCGCAGGGGCCGCTTCTGCTGCTGCCGATGCTGCCGCAGCACCCCCCCCGCTACCGTCAGGCCAGCCGTCGGGCCAGCCAGCGGGGGCTGTGCAGGCCCCTCCGGAGGTCCCTGCGGTGATGCTGAACCCTCAGTTCCTGCAGGCGTTCGTGGAGGCCGAGATCGTCCAACACTTCGCTCTGATACAGGCTGTATCGACTACGACCTCCGCGATGACAGAGGTCGCCGTGGCTTTCCCGCGTAGCTGGGTGGAGCTGCAGGCCTTGCTGGGTCGCCTGGCTTACGACGTGCAGACGGTGGACCCTTGGCGGCGCCTGGGGTTGCCCATGTACGAGGGGCCCGAGCCCACGGCGACGACGATCGCTGCCCGCGCCCGATCGGCGCGCTACGTAGGAGGCCTCGCTGCCATGGCTGCATGGGCTCCTGCCGATCATCAGGAAGTAGCGGTCTTCGTGGCGGCGGTGGGGGAGGCAGAGCAGCGATGCCTCGCCGAGCTGGACGCCCTCGTCAAAGAGCGGCGCGCGGCGCAAGTTGAAGGCTGGGCAGTTGCCGCTCCACCGGGAGCTCGGGAGCGCTGCGGTGCAGCTGCTCCGCGACAGCGCGGCCGGTTCAGGCGAGCAGATCTTCACCCAGTGGTCTGACATCCTTGGCACGGTCCGTGCCTCTGCGGCGACGCCGGCACAGGTGCTCAAGGAGACCAGGGACCTCGCCCAGCTGGCGGAGAAGGGGGACGCCAAGCTCTGGACCTCCTTCGCGGGCCGGGCCGCCGTCCTGTGGGCCCCCGAGGAAAGCAACGCGCTCACGCGTATGTTGGCCTCGTTCTTGCGGTTGCCATCCGGCCAGCGGCCAGCGTCCATCCGCCTGATCTCTCCGATCCCGTTTCTGCCTGGCATGACTTCGGTACATGGGACTTGGGTGCGTGCCGCGCGCTCGCCACAGGGCTGGTGGCCGGCTGGATGTGGCCAGGCAAGGCTCTAAGCCCCAGGACGCTCGACGGAGGCGATCGTTCGCTTCCTCCCCCCCTCCTCTCCTCGGCCTGCTCGTCCTCCTTCCCTTCCTGTTCCCCCTCTCTGCACGGGTTGGCGGCCAGAGTTTCGGCCGCGTTCGCAGGGCAGCCCTGTTTCGTGTGCGGTTGTTCAGTGAGCTCCCGAGTCCAGGGCTATTGCATGTTTCTGGGTTACGGGACGTCCGTGCAATGTACGCTGTCTTTCAGTCGTGTGCGATCGTCGCTGTCTGAATTGTGGTGCAGCTTATTCTGGCAAGCTGCACACATCAATTCTCTCAGTATGGATCTTCGGGCCCGCCGAGCGGCGGCAGCCGCGTCCGCGCGCGGCAGGCTGGCATGCGCCAGGCGCGGAAGTTCGCCCCTCCTTCCTTCCCTCCCTCTCGGCTCTCATCCTCACTCGAGGTGCGGAGTTCGCGGTCCGCGCGTTAATTGGCGGTTGCGCCGGTGCACGCGGAGGTGGCTGGTAGAGGGCCCCCCGGTCTCGTCGACCAAGGGAATCGCCAATTGGCCCGCGCTGTCCTCTTTTGCCGGCCGCCTGCGATTCCAGCAGGGCCATCCTGTCAACCAGACTGTCCTCAGCATGCTGCGTCACTCTCGGCCGTGAGCGGACGCGATGCGGTTTCAGCGCGCTTCGGCCTCCTCCACCCCTCCTCCTTTTCGGCTGCCTCTTTTGTGTTTGACGGGGGCGGGCATTCGGGCGCGCAGCCTAATGCTTGTCTGCCTGTGCGTTCCTCCTCTTCCTCCTCCTTGTCCTCCAGGCGCCCAGCTCCGCGCGCGATGCCATATCTACACGCCTCACCTTTCCTTACCATACTTTTACTCTCTGCGCCATGTCTCCCTCTTGTTCTTGTGGAGCCCCTCGCCCCCACGCGTAGAAAGAATAGTGGGATGGTGGAGCATCGCAGCCTCAATCTTGTCACGCATAATGTTTGCTCTCTTGTTCAGCCAGGCCGACATACGGAGGTCTCTCTTGCGTGTGCTCGTAAGGATATTGCCTTTCTGACTGGCACCAGACTACGGATGAAGGCGACAGACAATTGTTGTAGCAGCATCGCCGATCCAGATCTCCACATCCTGAGTTGGGGGTGCAATCGCGGTGCCTTCTCGAATGCCCATGCATGGTTTCAAATTAGACTTCGAAAGGATCTCTTCAGAATGCGCCACATCGCCGCAGTATATTCACCACCAGCCGCCCTTCAAGGGCGTGGAGGCGCCGTGCTTATTCGCTCTGGTCGTTTTC